GTGGTACGTTGAAAAATTTGAGATTTAAGTCATTTTAAACATTGAACTCAGTTTCGTAGAAAGTTGTTCGCAGAAGACCGCCGCGACGCCCCAATAATTTTGTTTTGCCCTGGAACGACTTACGTATCACGGCCGTCCGTAGTGATTTCTTTAGTATCCAATGGCACTTGTATCAAGTGGAGTGTCTTAGTACACGATCGTAACGGGCTATTCAGCTATTCAGCGCTGGGCAAGGACAAGAGAGCTCCTATATGAAGGAAACTTGCGCGAGCAATATGGCAATCGTTAGGATGGGAAATCAAACAGTAAAGAAATCGTAGCCTAAAATGCAAGCACAAATACAGATTTTATTCATATTGCTAACAAACGAATACGAATACAACAAAGTTAATGCGTGTAAAATAATAAAAATAAAAAAGTAAATTCGATTATCCCAATAGATTGCACAGCTGAAAGTATGAATTCTTGGGATAAGCGGGCACTAGTGAAGTGGCAAGCACAAATGGTCTGAGCCTGACTAATACAACGGCAACTCCTTGGAACTAAGGAATTGCGGGAGAGATACTGGTGGCAGGTTTTGAGAGGGTACTTCGAGAAACTTTTCAAATTCCTTATTCACGTGGCCTTTTCTGTAATTGACGATAAATAATAAATAATTACCCACATCTGAAAGAGCGCTCTTTAAATTGCATAATTTTTTCTTGCTTTATTTTTCTTTTTTTTTAAAGAAAACTGAAAAGCGCCGTGCGTGTACAGCGTGTAACGTAATTACGAATTTCACTTGAACGGAGCTTCGGCGACGAAGCCTGCCAGAGCCGAGTAATTTCGCGCCTCTCTCACAAGCAGCGCTCTTGTTTCGCGGAGAAGATCGTCACCCACCCACCCATCGGCATGGGTTGGAGAAGGCGATGGTCGCAGGGGGTTTGGTCGTCACGACGCGGGCTGCAGCGAAGCGGGTGGGCGCGAAGCGGGTGGGCGCGAAGCGGGTCGGCGCAGTATCGCCCGTCCGAGGCGGAGAGGGGGGAAAGGTCGATGGCGGGGCGGGTACAGCGCAGGTGTCAACACGCAACACGCCCTCTCACACCCACCGCTTCTGCCAGGTGCCGAAATAACAGGCGAAGAGGCGCATTGTTCCATTTGTTTCCGAGCTGGCCACGAATAAAAGCATGACAATAACGAAAAATGTTTCATGTCACGTGACAATTCTATAGAAATTTGAACTACAGGAGGGAAATTGCTAGATAGGATTTTTTTCATACTTTTATTCTTTTAGTAATAAATTTGAAATACAACTATTTGTACTTCTATTTGCCGAAATATTTTATGACTGTTTTACCCTTTCATATTCGAGATATTGCGTTCGTCTAGATTTTTTTTTAAGGCAGCCAAACCTTGATATTTGGAATCAGGAGCGTCCACGTTCCAATGATCGAAAATTCGACATACACCGCCGTTCGAGTTACCAAAGACTATGGAAAGGGAAGGCGAAAAGGAATTGAAAATTTGTAGATATTGTCGAATTCTAATTAATGTCGAATTAGCGATGTTTCACTACATTCCTTTCGTTTACATAACTAGTATACCATGCATTTATTTGCGTCACATGGCATTTTCAATACTAAACTTCAAAGCAACATAATCCCGTGGAATTGAACTATTACGTTTAAACGCTGTACTCATACATTCTCTTCTGATACGGTAGGGAAACGGTTCCATAGGCTAAATTGATTGGATTGCTGCTAAACTACAGGAATGCTTCGTCGTGATTACTAAGCGTCCATCGGAAGCAAGGTTGACAAGCAGCTTCCGAAACTTCAGTCGCGCGTGCAATAGATTGAATGCGCACGGGAATGACTTGAGTGCACAAAACAGTCATATTACCCAAATTTTCCAATTCATAGTTTATGCCTGTTGACACATCTGAATTTCCCAGCAGACCCATTGCTGTAAGATTGACATAAGATGATGCGATATACCAAACAACGCAATTGCTTATCTTGTGTAAGAACACGGAAGCGCACTCGTACGATGAACAGGTGTTCATGTTATGTGAACATTTGATTGGCGCCATCGTGCATTCCTCGTCAATCGCAAGGCGCGCGTCTAGTGTCCGCTGGCGCGGCGCAGGGGCCGGCGAGCAGGGGCGCAGTGTGGAGGGGGAGGCGCAGCAGCAAGGCGCTGGGCCGCAGGCCGGGGCGAACGCCCGGCGAATCGCAGGCGCAGCTCGACGCCCGGCCAGGCCCGGCCCTCCGTCTCGCCCGGTCCCCGCTCCGCTTGCACCCGGCCCCACCGGCCTCTCCGCCATGCACCGTCACATCCAAGATCATTCCTCCTACCCCGCCCTCCACCACTCTGTCCGGCAACATTTTCCCCTTCCGTTCATACGGGCCCGCCAGCCCATCCAACCCCGCCTACCCCAACCTTCTCTTTTCAACAGAGACCACCCTTTGGGATTTCGCATGACACCTAGCTATAGCGCCAGCCCTGGCCAAGACATTATCTGGGCAAAACCTAAAAGCGTGCGGGGTTGTTAGGAGGATCGGATCGGAAGAAAACAGGACGGAGTAGCACGGTGAGGGGGCAAAAGACGCGAAGGGGAGGACTCCCCAACTGACAGCACCAAAGGTCGGGGAACGATTTGGGGATGCAGGAGGACGAGGCGGGACCAAAACTCCGCAAAGCGACGGGGAAGCGGGTAGGCGGCGAAACGGCAAGCACTCGGCCGAGCTATCGTTCCCCGCTCTCCCGCCCGCGAGCCTGACGGGCGGCGGCCAAGGTGGCAACATCGCATTGACCTACAAGCCGCCGCTGCCGCCGCCGCCACCACCACTCCCATCACCAGGCGGCGCGCGCGGGGCAATGCACTAATGGGTTTGGTCGGGGCCTGGTGACAGTCTCCGACGCCGCCGACGCGCGGCGAGGCCAAAAGGTGCCAAGCGGCCCCGCGTGAGACGCTCTGTCGCATGAAACGCGGCTTCACGTGGCGACGATGACGACGCCGCCGGCTGTAGACGATCGAGCCGCGAGCGCGCGCGCGAAAGCGAAAGGCGAAGAAGAGCCCGAACGCGGCGGCATCGCAGAACGGAGCGAAGCAACTTCTAGGCGGCGCAGGAAACGCACAGTCTGCGACGCCCCCGAATAGCTCATCCACTTTCTCAACGAACAAAACGTTTCCTCACTACTCTATATAGAAATCAAAAAACCGAACTGGATGGCCGAGGTGGCTACAGCGTGTGCCAACTCCGCACCTCGGTTCGATGGGTCGCGAGTTCGAGTCTCGCCGTAGGCACGGTTGGTTTGTCCCTTGTGTTTCGTGTATGTGGGTGTTGTTGCGGAAAGCACTGAGTGTGTGCTGACCACAGATCAAGGTGCCCGCAAGTGTGGCTGGTGTAAATGTTAATGTGTGTTCCCTAGTTTCCCGGCGCGGATAGTCGAAATCATCCTGCCTCATCTGGCCCAACATGCCCCTCCTTGCCATGTTTGTTACGATTATCGTTGGTATCACCATCATTACTAAGGATACCTATAAACATGTGTGTATGTATATATAATATGTATTATACACACACACATACTTTCGAGATATTTAAAAAAAAAGTGCACAATTAACATTTGTTCTAAGGGGTAGAAACGGAGATAGGGTAATGTAATTGCTATGTAATCGCATTCAGACTGTAACTTTTCAGTTGACATGCAAGTCACATATACAAAATGTCATTACGATCGGAATAAAGTTGAAGATTAGTGTGAAAAAACCTTCTTCCTTATATAATAGAAAATAATATTATTTTAGAATAAAATGAGACTAATTTATGTCCAATAAAACACACTATTTTTCACTGGAACCCACATCCAGTTGAGCCCAGGAATTACTCAGGGCAAACAAAAAAAATTTGAAAAAAAATAATTGTGTTTTTATATTTTGAAAATAAAGAGCTGAGATTTGAAATCAAAGGCACACATTCCAATTCTATTTCTATATGTATAATGTTTAAAAATGTAAAACATTTTCTGTTCCAATATCTAAACCACGCACAACGGAATACACGATTTTGAAAACATACACAAATAGAATGAATAGAAAAGACGCGACATCTAGTTCTCAAAACATAAACACAAGCAGATAGAAATTTCTGTGCATTCTATGATTTAGATAAACATTGAATGTCCGTATAATTGAGAGGGCGTTTTTTCCCATTTAATTATCAAAATTTCAATTCAAATTATTTACGATGAAAACTCATATCTTTTGTGTCATAGATATTCTTAATAAAACAAGAGACAAATGAAATTGAGACAATAAAACATGATCAACCTAACGTTTTCAGCGGTTTCTGAGATTCACCAGATTTTACTTTGTGAGAAAATCTTCCTATTGTGCTGTAGGAAAAACTACTCTTTCTCTTTGTGCCTAATTTTTTTTTTTTGACATTCTAAAGTACTTCTTATTTTCATTTATCATGTAATTTAATTTCCTTTTCACATCAGTGGAATATAAAGTAGATTAGGTGTACAATGATGCACTATAATACATTGGTCACATCATGCTATGGGTTCCAATTTCACATATATTCCACACCCAATAGATAATAATCATGCTGACAAGCAGTTATTTCTACAAAAATGGAATTTGTTCTATTGTGTGTAAATGCCCAAAATTAGTGTGTGCATGTTGCATTGCCATTTTAGCTCTCAATCACTTTATTTTTTTTTATATCTTCTAGAATTACTCACTTTATAAATACAGTTCTCTGATATATAATGATCTATAATATACCATACTAGGGAATAATTCCTAATATTTTTAATAATGAAAATACCCAATTACTCTACAAACACAAGCTCGTGTACTATATATATTCCTATTATACAAATACAGTGTCAGGAATTAATGGTGAAATAAAAGTATACAAACACCAACCTACAATAACACTCTAAATAACTATACAGAAACATACTTTGATGGGGCAAGAATTTTCGCTGAATTTGTGGTGCAGGTGGTTCCGGCACTTTCTTCTTCTTTTCACTGGGCTGAAAATGCCACAAAATACATTTGTTTTCTTCAATTCGGTTTTTATTCATATTCTACATGCCTACATGTAGAGGTTATGTTGACATCATGCTCACCTTCGTTTGAACTCCTCGAAGAACAGCAGATGAAAACTTACTAACATTGTCGTAAACTTGTGCTGATGTACAAGGAACACTCACGTTTGCAGAATAAAGCGCTTTTATCGGATCAAATTTTTCTGATTTCAAATCTAAAGATTCATCAGAGTCAGACATCACTCAGCTTTCACGAATGTAAACACAAAACAAATGAATGGATTGGGAGTGCCAACCATAATGTAAGAAATAACTTGTCATGCCAACTTAAACATGGACGCCAACGCAATCTAAAATATGACGAATAACATAATGTTTTTATGATTAATTTCTATTTCCACATAAATCAATAAATAAAAACCTCACAGAAACGTGCTCAGTCTCGCACATTTTATCATATCAGTAATTTCATGACAATTATCGTTATTTTAAGCATGATCCTGTAGAAGCCTATGTACCTATAACACCATCTATTAGTGAAAAGCACAACTATGTAAGTTCCTTCACTGGCGACGCGAGCGCGCCACCATACCGCGGTTAATTTGAATACGAGATCTAACGAAGTTCATGAAAAGTAGACTTTAGTCAACGTTGTATTACTAATAGCAACGTATAGAGTATTTTGACAGGTTTTTAAACTTTTCGAATTTTATGTAACTTTCAATTAAATGTTATTTTGATGAATAAATCTAATTATGTATCTTTTGTTTCAGGCAGTCACATACAGCCGTTGTTCATGTTCTGGCTCAAGTTCCAGAAATTCCGTGATATAGCAAGGTGAGTTCATAGACAAAAACGTAATAACCAATAATGATCTACAGTACTCTCACAATAATGTTGCAGACATAAAGTATTATTACAACTTAACAATGATTTTTGTTCATCTATTTTATACAAATTAAATATTATAAATACCTTATACATTTGTATGATATCTTTTCATATTTCTATTGTGTCATAAAACAATGTTATTTAAGTAATATTATTTTATCACTGCTCATGCCAATTTCTTTCCAATATGTGTCAATTATGTAACGTCTGCTTAACACTAATCTCATTAACAAATAGTGTGTTAATTTTTATATTCTGCTAAACTACGAATTCAATGTATGACATTTTACTCGTTATGAATAAAAATAAAGTCTATAATAATGATCTCTAACCTTGCTTCAAATGCCATTTTTAATATTTCATAGTCCAGCATGGAGAATTAAGAAACAGTTTTATTTCATACGAAAAACTAGAGGTTACAATATGGCCCAAACTTCCTCCAACTCGTTAGTTCCCAAACCCCTTTAGTCACAACTAGCTTTTCGATTTTGCCCTATCCTCTTCCCGGCAGCTAACAAATCATGATCAATCAGAAATCATGAAAGTTTTCGCATTTCTAGTTGTTGTTTTTTTCTTTCTTCAATTTTTTAATCCCCTATTAGTACAATTGAAATGTGACCTTAAGAATATTACGGAAGAGTTAAAGTTGATCCTACATGCAAATTTTTATTGAATACATAGGAGCTCGTATATTCTCACCCTTACTTCATAAGAAGAGAAAGTATTGTAATTGTGCTCCGGATAACGATGAATGTTCGACAGAAAACTCTTTTCTCTGTCGGCGGTGACGAAAAAGTGAATAAATATTTTTCCTATATAATAGTATTGTTTCCTATATAATAGTATAGTTTAGTTTTCCTGTATAATAATACTTTAACGCAATGTGCAGTTAGAATCCATGTTGTGTCGTTCCTTTATAACGAACTATAGAATGGTACAGCCTTTCCCGAATTAGTTTTCTAATTCCTTTGGGCACGGCTAGCGATTCGGACTTGCCAACGACTAGTTTTGAAAAGTGATCGATTGAACGTTTCTTAAAGTGCACAATTATTTTAGCCTCATTTTCATACAAAAAAATTGAGTTTTCGAAAACCTTCATTCGAGAAATCAATTGAAGCACTTGTACTCAGGAGTGCAACATTGTACAAAGAACACCTGAAATTTAAACATTAGACGAGAAAGATATTTAATAAAATACGTTTATGTAATTTTTGAAAATATAAAAGAATACGTGAAAATGGCATTTATCTCATGTTCTTCAGTGTGTTTATATCTAACCGTACCAATCTGGTCCGTAACAAAAAAATCAGAGCAGGTTTTTTAGAAAGTTTTGCTCTTGAAATTGCCCACATTGCACTCATGAGTACGCGAATACTATTGAAATTTCAACAAAATTCAATTCATTGGAAGAAAGGTAGATACATGAGCATCACAGACTGGGAGGAGAGGGGGGAACGCCCCCCTCCATTTTGTTTTGTATGCGGCGTATGTTGGATATGTCTCCCCGGTATCTGTACTTTATCTGTTGAAACTCCCCCCAACCCATTTGTTTGGTACAGAGCTTACGTTGGAAGTGACTGCCTGGTATCTGTAGTTTATTGAATCGCCCTTCTCTCTCAATATTTTTGGGTTGGTGACACAGATATATCGTTGGAGGGCTGCAATAGTGGCAGAAATCAAAAAGGTGCTGAGATAAATGAGATTGATGCATTTCCATACTAGATAAAAACATCCATCTTGCATTGACACTTCTGCCATTTGTTGGTGGAAAACACTACTGTAAGATATGCTGTTGAAAGGTAGACCAATCTGCAACTCTGAGGATTGCATTAACTCCAATGTTTGAGTTGTGCAACTATTCCAGCCCATGAGCGATATATCTGTGTGGAGGGAATGTACGTTAGATAAAATAAAGGTTGGTTAAAATGATGGGTGGTTGTCGGCGCCGCGAGCGAAGCGAGGCGAGGCGTCGTGTGGTCCAACACGGGGGCTGCGGTGTTGCAGGTCGCTGCTGGAGGCGCAAGTGCCTGCCGCGGTCCTCGCCGCCGCCGCCACCGCCGCCGCCGCCGTCGCCTTCGGGAGCTTCGTCTGAACGCCGGACCAGCGAGGCGGGCGCGCCCGGCTCCGCAGCC